TTATCAGATATATGATTTGCAATTATTTTTCCTATTCCATAGGTTGTTTTTTCACTCTGTTGATTATTTCCTTTGATATGCAGAAAAATTTTAAGTTTGTTATAGTCCCATTGTCTATTTTTGCCTTTGCTGCCTGTGCTTTTGGTGTCATAGCCAAGAAATCATTGCCAAATTCAACTGAAGCTTTTTTCCTATGTTTTCTTCTAGGAGTTTAATGTCTTACATTGTAGGTTTTTAATCTATTTTGAGTTAATTTTTGCAGATCGTGCTAAATAAGTGTCCAACTTCATTATTTTGCATATAAGTTTTCCTAAAGCTATTTGTTGAATAGTGTCTCTTCTCCACTGCGTAGTCTCGGTACTCTTGTTGAAAGTCATTTGGATATATACACAAGATTTTGTTTCTAGGCTCTCTACTCTTCCATTAATGAGTCTATAATAACTATCTTTATGTCAGTACCACATCATCTTATTTACTGTTGCTTTGCAGTATGTTTTGAAATCAGGGAGTGTGAGGCCTCACTTTGTTCTCATTAAAAGATTGTTTGGGGGCCGGCCGAGTGGCGCGATGGTTAAGAACTGGCTTGGGACACCAGAGGGCCCCGGTTCGGATCCCACATATGAGGGCCAGTGACACTGCCCTCTACAGCTAAGATGCTGAACAACAGCTCAACCTGGAGCTGGGCTGCCGTGAGTCGCCGGCGACGGCATAGGCTGCAGCCCCTGTGGCAGTGGGTTGCCATGGGCTACCGTGTGTAGCCAGCAGCCAGCGTGAGCGGCCAGCAGCCGCAGTGAGCGGCCGTCCAGAAGCCGGCGACTGATCTGCCTCGCCCGGGAAGAGCGCAATGATGGTGCCAACTTGGGCCAGTGAACAACATCCTCCACAACTAGCCTGAAGAACAAAAGGACAGCAACTTGTCTGTTCCCCTTCCCCCAGTTCCCCAGAACTGTTCCCATCCCCCCAATTCCCCAATAAAAATCTTTAAAAAAAAAAAAAGATTGTTTGGGCTATTTGGGGGTCCCTTGATATTCCATAAGCATTTATAATTTTTCTTTTTTCTATTTTTGCAAAAAAATGCCATTGGGATTTTGATAAAGATTGCACTGAATCTGTAGATCACTCCGGGTATGGACATTTTAACATTAAGTCCTCTAATCCATGGGTACAGGATGCCTTTCCATTTATTTGTATTTTCTTTGAATTTTTTTAGTAATATTTTGTAATTTTCAGTGTACAGGTCTTTCTTTCATTTTCTTGGTTAAACTTATTCCTAAATATTTTATCCTTTTTGATGCTATAGTAAATGGGATTGTTTTCTTAGTTTCCTTTTCAAATTGGTCATTGTTAGTATATAGACATGCAACTAATTTTTTACTGTTAATTGTATCCTGCAACTTTGCTGAATTCGTTTATTAGTTCTACAATTTTTGTGGACTCTAGGGATTTCTACATGAAAAGATCATGTCATCTGTGAACAAAGATCATTTTATTTCTTCCTTTCCAATTTATATTTCCTTTTCTTGTCTAATTGCTCTGGCTAGAATTTCCAATACTATGTTGAAACGTAGTGGTGAGAGTGGGTTTCCTTGCCTTAATCATGATCTTAAAGGAAGAAATTTCAGTCTTTCCATGTTTAGAAGATGTTTGCTCTGGGGTTTTCATATATGGCTTTTATATATTGAGGAAGCTTCTTTCTAGTCTAGTTTGTTGAGTGTTTTTATCAGAAAAGGTTGCTGAATTTTGTCAAATGCTTTTTCTATATCAATTGAGATGATCATGTCGTTTTTGTCCTTGATTTTGTTAATGTGGTATATTACACTGGTTGATTTGTGTTTGTTAAACCATCCTTTCATTTCAGCTATAGATCCCTCTTGATCATTGATCATGGGTGTATAATCCTTTTAGTGTGCTGGTGAATTTGTTAGTATTTTTTTTAAGTTTTTGTTTTTTTTAAAAAAGATTTTTATTTTTATTATTTATTTTTTATTGGGGAATTGGGGGAAGGGGAACAGACAAGTTGGTATCCTTTTGTTCTTCAGTCTAGTTGTGGAGGACGTTGCTTCACTGGCCCAAGTTGGCACCATCATTGCGCTCTTCCCAGGCGAGGCAGATCAGTCGCCGGTTTCTGGAGGGCCGCTCACTGCGGCTGCTGGCCGCTCACGCTGGCTGCTGGCTACACACGGTAGCCCATGGCAACCCACTGCCACAGGGGCTGCAGCCTACGCCGTCGCTGGTGACTCACGGCAGCCCAGCTCCAGGTTGAGCTGTTGTTCAGCATCTTAGCTGTAGAGGACAGTGTCACTGGCCCTCATATGTGGGATCCGAACCGGGGCCCTCTGGTGTCCCAAGCCAGCTCTTAACCAACGCGCCACTAAGCCAGCCCTGTTTAGAGTTTTTGCATCAATATTCATCAGGGATACTGGTATTTAGTTTTTTTCCCCCCTTGATTGTCTCTGTTTGGTTTTGGGCTTGTGGCAATACTGGACTCATAGAATAAGTTTGGGAATATGCCTTTCTCATAATTCTTTGGAAGAGTGAAAAGAACTGGTGTTGATTCTTCTTTAAATGTTTGGTATAATTCTCCAGTGATGCCATGGGGTCTTGGGCTTTTCTTCGTTGGGAGGGTTTTGATAGATGCTTCATTCTCCTCACTAGTTACAGGTTTGCTCAGATTTCTTATTTATGACTCAGTCTTGGTAGGTTATGTTTCTAGGAATTTATCCATTTCTTCTAGGTTATTCATTTTGTTCCATATAATTGTTCATAGTAGTTTCTTATAATCCTTTTTATTTCTGTAATGTCAGTTGTAATGTCTCCTCTTTCATTTCTAATTTTAGCTATCTGAGTCTTCCCTCTGTTTTTCTTAGTCTAGCCCAAGGGTTTGTCAATTCTGTTGATCTTTAAAAAAAACAAAAACAATGCTTGGTCTTACTGATTTTTTTGTTGTTTTTCTATTCTCTATTTCATTTATCTCTGCTCTAATCTCTATTATTTTCTTCCTTCTGCTGACTTTGGGTTAGTTGATTTTTCTTTTTCTAGTTTCTTGAGATGTAAAGTTAGGATGTTGATTTGAGATCTTTCTTCTTCTTCTTTTATACTAGCTGAGCCATCCTGCTACCTGTTAGCAGCTCAGTTCGGGTGCAGTGCCACTGGCCCATGTGGGAACCAAACCAGCGGCCCTGCTGCTCAGAGCTCATGCTCCCAAGCTAACTCCTAACCAACTGAGCCACTTGGCCAGCCCTCTTTCTGCTTTTTTAATGTAAGCATTTAGTACTATAAACTTCTCTCTTCCTACTGCTTTTGCTGCATCCCGTAAGTTTTGGTATACTGGGTTTTTGTTTCCATTTGTCTCCAGATATTTTCTAAATTCCCTTGTGATTTCTTTTTTAACCCTTTGGTTGTTTAACAGCGTGTTAATTTCCACATATTTGTGGATTTTTCTGTTTTCCTTGTGCTAGTGATTTCTAGTTTCAACCCACTGTGGCCAGAGAATATACTTTGTATGCTTTTCATCTTAAATTTGTTAGGACTTGTTTTGTGGCCTAATGTGTGGTCTATCTTGGAGAACGTTCTGTGTGCACTTGAAAAGAATGTGTAATCTGCTGTTGCTGGGTGGAGTAGTCTGTGTAAGTTTGTTAGGTCCAATTGGTCTATAGCGTCGTTTAAGTCCCTGGTTTCTTTAATGACCTTCTGTCTGGTTGTTCTATCCAGAATTAAACGTAGGGTATCACAGTCTCCTACTATTATTGTGTTACAGTCTATTACTCCCTTTAGTTCGGTCATATAGTTGGGAAAGAATTTTTAATAATAATATAAAGCCTGGAGTCAAAATATTTTCCCTATGAAATAGCTATAACAAGGAATAAGAAGATAGAAGGATATATATACAAAATGATAGGATTTGGTGGTTTTTATTAACTTCATTGTATTTTTTCTATAATTTACAGAAGTTTAATAATGAATAAACAGGAGTTCCTTTAGCAATTATAAAACAAAAATTTTTTTAAAAAGTGATGTACAGTATAGAACTATAAACAAATGCATGTGTTAATGACTTTTTCACACTGTGTTTGAGGTTTTATAACTTAAAGACTAAGATGTAGAACAAATAACATTTAATTTCTGTTTCTTCATCTTAGATTAGAATTTCAATATTAACAGCTTTCAATATCAGCCCTGCCTAAATAATCAGGCAAGTCAGGAAACAGCTGTGTCCTCTTATTCTTCATAATCTCTCCCCAATTTAGATATGATTAATTTGATTAATTATACATGAAAGATAATCAAAATGTCAAAGTAATTTATCTTAGTTTTTCACCTATTTTTCTATAAAAGCCACATTTAACTACCACTCTTACTATTAGTGAACCTAACATCAAGCTAGTTAAAAAAATAAACCCTAACAACACATTTTTTGGGAAAACTTTTTCACTACAAGTTTAATTATTTGACATGTCTTGGACCTTATATTTATTTTGTACAAATGATTGATTTTGACCTCATTTTCTGGTTTAAAAATATATCTAGGTTATTTTTATATTCATATCCAATTCAATTATTCAGGCTAAACAGAATAGTTTTTAACTGGTAGATTCTTATAATGTAGTAATTGTTGCCAAAAATGGTTAAATGGGTAATCACAGCCAGATTTTTATTCAGAAGGATACTATTCTTAAAAATGAAATTTTTATAAATACACTTGGAGATAATAAACATTCCTTATTTGGAGATTTTATGATTGAGTCTGAGAGAGTCATTAATTACAAGCAGTATTTAAATATATCTTACTAAGAGTAGATAATTTTTATAGATTTAATAAATTTGTTCAGATTCCAAATCCTATGACTAAACAATAATAATGTCTTTCCACATTTGATAAACTGTAACAAAGGTAGGCATATTTCAAAAGTAATCTACATTTCTCAAATATTGAAAATACTTAACAAAAAGGAAACATGTACGTTAAATCTTCTGGAAAGCAAGTATTAGTTAACACTTACTGGACATAGTAGAGAAACCCTTAGGCTGGTTGTAGCTATCTCACTGTCTGGATCCGCAGTCAATTTCTCCTTAACTGATTCATTGAAGAGAATACAAACAAATAGAACAAGTTTATGAAAGATACATCACTAATGCAACATAAGAAAAAGAACAAGGAACTTAAAATGAGAAACCTTAAAAAAAAAAAAAAGGAACTCAAAATAATCTCAATTATTTTCCAATCAACTGAATGGAAAGACAAAAACAATATATAGTTTATAATTTCTACAATAACCAAAGGAAGGAAAACAACTGTGTATCTGTAGACTGACTGTATTTCCTGTAAGTTTCCTGTTTCTCACCCATGGAGCAAAAACTGCATTGCAGTAACATAAAGGAAACTTCTATAGCAAGTTGACATATTCAACTGATGGCAGACCGTTTTTCTTTCATAGCTCTTTCTTTTAAACTATGGCCAATATTATTTTAAAATGAATGAACAAACATCAATTATAAAACTAACATTTACAAATTGTCTCAAAGCTCGGAAATAACAAATATTTATTACAAAGCATATTAATTTAAATTTCAAATTATGAAAAAAGTTCAATAGCTTTTTTACCATATAATTATTTGAGTTGTACATTTATTTATCAACTAATTATGCTACCTTGAGCAGGTCAATCCTTCTCTCTCAGCTTAATTTTATTCTAGCAAAATAAAAACCCATAGGAGATAATCTCTTAAGTCTTTTCAGTTCAAAATTCTTATCGTTCTTAAGAGAGGAGTCACTAGTAATTTTACTTTTAAGGCTATTCTGTTACTGCTCTTCATCAATCTAATATAACAAGGACCCTTATACTTCTCATCTGGAAACCTGAGGCATTTGTTACTTAGAACTTCAACACAGAAGTGACACTGGAAATGCCCAAATGTACTACTATTCCAATAACTTTAGAACTGTTCCATAATACATTTAAAGTTTTTTTGTGTGTGGGGGGGGTGGGGAGTGGGTATGCCCAAGTGGACTGGTTGTGTACATACACAGCCAATCGTAGCATTTCAGAGCTGTGGCACAACTAACCATGACCAAGTAACTAACATATAATAAAGAAAATGGGGAGAGGAAAAATACTCAGATAAGGAGGATGGTTTCATAACCATTTACAAGAATTAGGAATCCTGCTTTTTTAAACACGCTGATCATATAGTCTGGATTATTTGAGATGGTACAAATCTTAAGATATTCTATCCAACTGTCTCCATAAATTAGTGGATCTCAATTAAGATGTCCATTAGAACGACTATAAAGCTTTCTAACTTATCACTTAATCAGAGTAGGGAAGAGGGACACTAATAGGTAGTTTAAAAAGCTGCAGATGTGATTCTGATGCCAGACTAAACAGTCACTTCATGGCTTGGAAATTCCAAATTTTCAAAGTCTATATAATTCATAGGCTGCCTCTCACACCTGAAAAGGCATAAAATCCCTGGGTTTTAGTTTGGGAAATATAGTTGCCACATCACTTAGGCTAATTAGTATCATATGTAAATTATAAAAATATGCCTTTGCCATTATAGGCCCAATCTTAGTCAACCCTTTCTTACAGAGAAACATTTAACAAATATTATCTTTTTAAAGGTAACAAACAATTGCCATACAAAATAAACGTGCAAATAGAATTCTAATGTGATTATCGACCATTTATTCTGCATGCCTTCACCATCCATCCCTCTAGCACCTAACCACACACAGCAATAGGAATAGTAACTGACTTAGGGGTTTTGCCTACTTAAATTTCCATTTAATGAAGTAATACCATAGATCATAATATCAGTCTATGCAAAACGAAGTTCAGTGTTTAGTACTTATCAAAGAAATTCAAAGAGGAGAGGCAACCTGAGGTAGCAGTTAGAATACAGGATCTAAAGCTAGTCTAGATTAGAATTCAGCCTCAGTCAAGTCATTTAACCTCTGTGTATCTCAGTTTCACCAGCTTGTAAACAGGAATAATAGTAGTACCTGATAGCACTGTTTTACGGATTAAATGAGTTAACACACATAAAATGCTATAAAATAATCTAACAGCATTCTCAATAAATACTAGGCATTGTTACTTAAAATAGGATTTGTATGTTCACTTTCAGAGGTGGGAGAATTTTCTGAAATTATTTTCAAATCATCTTGTTAATTTCTATTTTTAAAATAGCTTTCCCTTTTGCCTTTGCCATTATAGGCTCAATCTGAGTTAATCCTTTCATGTAAAGATAATTTTAAAGATATTACTAGGGTCTTGATTGGATTGAACTGAACCTATAGATCATTTTGGAGAGGACTGTCATCTCTCCAATAACAATGAGTGTTGTGATCCATTAACATGGTATATCTCTCCATTATTCAGGTTTTATCTTAATTTCAGCAGTTTTGTCGTTTTCAGTATACAAATCTTGCACATATTTTGTGCAATGTATCCCTAAGTATTTCATTGTTTTTGGATGTTAAATAAATTGTTTTTTTGAATCCCTATTTCCAATTGTTCACTGCTACCTTGTGTACTCGCCCTTGCTAAATTCACATATTTAGTTCTAGCAGCTTTTTGTAGCTTTAGAATTTTTTCTACATAGACAATTTGGTTATTTTTAAATAAAGACAATAATTACTTATTCATTTCTTATCTGTATGCTTCTTTCTTCTTGCTTTATTGTGCTGGCTAGGATCTCAAGGGCAATGCTGAACAGAGAGATATTAAGATCAGATATTCTTTCCTTGTTCCCAATTTTAGAGGTAAAGCATTGAAGTTTTTCACCATAAACTATGACATTAGCTAAAGGGTTTTTTATAAATACCCTTTATTACACTGAGGCAGTTCCCTTATCTTTCTATTTTGCTGAGTTTAATCATGAATAGATATTGAATTTGACAAAATGCTTTTTCTGCACCTATGGAGGTGATCATATGATTTTTTTTCTTATTTAGTTTATTGAACACATGAGTTATACTGATTGATTTTCAAATGTTGTATCAACCTAATATTCCTGGAATAAACTCTGCTTGGTCACTACGTATTACCTTTTTATATATAGACTTAGAATTGTTTGACTTAGTCAAAACCATTCTGAAAAAGAAAAACAAAGTTGGACGATTAATTCCAGGACTTACTATAAGTTACAGTAACCAAGACTGTGGTATTGGCATAAGGATAGACATATAGGTCAATGGAAAATAACAGACTCCAGAAATATTGATACATCTATGGTCAATTGGTTTTTGACAAAGGTCCCAAGGTAATTAAATGAAGGAAAAGATATTCTTTTCAACAAATATTGTTGGAACAATTGAGTATCTATATGGGAAGAAATGAACCTCTAATCTTACCACCTTGCATCATATACAAATAAACTTTAAAAACACAAACTATAAAAAGAAATGGAAAAAAGATTTGAACAGACATTTCATCAAAGAAGCTATAAGGATGACAAATAAGCACATGAAAAGATGCTTAACATCATCAGCCACTAGGAAAATGCAGATTAAAACCACAAGATTCCACTACATACTGACCAGAATGGCTAAAATCAAAGCAGTCTGATAACACCAAGTGCTAGTGGGGATGAGGAACAACTCATAATCTCACACATTGTTGGTAGGAATGCAAAAATAGTATATGCATTTTACAAGAAACTGCCAGTCTGTTCTGTATACACCTATTATGTGACCCAGCAACCCCAGTCCTAAATATTTACCCAAGAAAATGAAAACGTATGTCTACAAAACTGGGATATCCATATACAAAATGTTTTAGCAGCTTTATTTATGACAGTACAAAACTGGAAACAATCTAAATGTCCACCAACTGGTAAATGGATGTACCAATTATGGTACGGATAAATGGAATAATACTCAGTAATAAATAGGAACAAACTACATGGATGAACCTCACAAGTATTATACTAAGTGAAAGAAGCCAGACACAAAAGGGTACAATGTCTGACATTCTGGAAGACAAAAACTACAGACAGAAATTACATCAGTGGTTACAAGAACTGGAGGTAAGGCGATGAGATGGACCACAAAGGGCCACAGGGGAACTTTCTGGGGGTAAGGATGTTCTACATTTTGATTGTGGCACTGGTTCATGATCGCATACACCTGTCAAACTCATCAAACTGTACACTCAAAAGGGTGAATTTTTACTGCTTGTAAACTATACTTCAATAAACGTAACTAAAAGAGGGGGAAATCACTATGTTAAATTTAATCACAGAAAGTATGGAAGAAAAACAAAGTACTATCCTTTGTGGACAAGGGAGCAAAATAAATAAAAACAAGACATAATATTCATCCTGCAGCATCAACCAAAACGTGATATTTTGGGAGTTAAAAGTTTTCTTGTGTCATCATGAATTGCAGTGGTAACAGTATTTTATTTTATGACTTATAATAAAGTTACAGCTAGCCACATTTAAAATTCATCTTTTAAAAATTTCTGTTGTCACAAACTATCAGTTAGCCATTAACATGTGGCTATATTTAAACTTAAATTAAATAAAATTTAAAATTCAGTTCCTCAGTTGGACTAGCCACATTGCAAGTGCTCAGAAACCACATGTTGCTGGTGGCTACCATATGGGACAGTACAAATGTAAAACACTTCCAGCATCACAGATTGTTCTATTAGACAGCGCTGTTCTAAGTTTGTTTTTTAAAAATAATTTCTATCCTTTCTTAATATCAGATGATTTTATATTCAGCTTTTTAGAATTTTAAGGTTAGAAACAACTGAACATATTTAGTCCAATACTTCCAACTTTACAGGCAAGGAAAGAGAGGAACAGAGACCGGATTTTCACTTTAGATCTCTTTTCATAGTTGACTTCAACAAAAATCTCAGGTTCTACTGTGTACCAGACATTGTGCTAAGTTACCAGGAATTCAAAGAAAAAGATGATTCAATTTCTGCCCAAAGGAACTCATAGTCTAGCAGGGAGTAAAGATGCTGATGGAAGTATGTTCAGAAAGCTAGCTGAAAGTCACATCATGTATTCTGGGAGTTCTGAGATGCCTCTTAGAAAAAGTGCAACCTGAAGGATAACTGGAGTTAGGCAAAGGAAGCAACACGCAAGTTTTCAGTCATAGAAAACACTACTGGTAAAGAAAGCACTGAGGAAGAGAAAAGAATTCAGTATTTTTGGAATATAAACTATGAGAAGAGTGAATACAGATGACACTGGAAAATAATAAGCAGGTGCCACATTGTGGAAAGCTGCACATGTCATGTCAAGAAACTTGGAGTTTTGATTCCACTGGTGTTGAGAAGACACGGATTGCAAAGGAATAATAAGATTGGATCTGTACTGATCACTTGCTACCTAAACAGAGGTATGAACGGGAGCTAAGAAAGGCTTTTAAAATAAAGGCAGGATATGAGAGCTTAAACAAGGACAGTGATGGTAGGGAGAAAAGAAAACAGATTTGAGAAATATTTAGGGTGTAAGTTTGCTAGTACTTGGTAAGTTGGNAAAAAAAAAAAAAAAGTTCAGAAACACACCAGGATAAATAAAAATCAAATATATAATAATGGCTTCTGAATCAGCATTTATTTAATGATATTAGAATAACTGGCTGACTATTTAAAAAATGAAAGTAAATCTTTATTTTACACCACACATAAATTTCTGCTGGTTACATATTTAAAGTAAAACAAGAAACCTCAAAAGTCTAGAAGAAAATATAAACAAATCTTGGAAAGGGCAGATGGATTAAACATTGATGCAGACTGAGGGGGAAAGACTATAAAGGAAAAAACTGGTTAAGATTTGGCTCCGTAATAAATCTTCTACACATTAAATAACCACATAAATAAAAATAAAAGGCAAACAAACTAGAAACAAATATTTGCAACAAGTGAAGGAGGGTTAAGTCTTAAGATATTAAGAACTCATAAATCAGTAAGAATAAGAAAAACATAAGAGAAATAAATATGAATATGATTTTAAAATGTAAATAATCACAAACAAAATATGTTAAATCTCAGTAAGAATAAAAGGAGTAATAATTAAAGCAATGTGGTGCCATTATCTACTACAAGTGGTAAAGATTTTAAAGTAGGCAGAGAAAACTGTTGACAGGGTATGAGTCACCACGCACATGAATAAACACTAAGTCAGAGAATAACATGTACATCTTTTGGCAGGCAATCTGTCAATGTATACAATATAGCTTAAAATTCTGTAAGATCTTTAACTAAGCAATTCACTTCTGGGAATTTACTCTAAGGAAATTATCATGTTCATATGCAAAACTATAAATAGTAGGACGGTCTTCACAATGTTCTCTGAAATAGCAATGAATCAATCAATTAAATAAGAGCTCATCAATAGGGAATAGGCTAAACTGTGGCATACTCATACTGGAATATCATATAGTCATTTAAAATCATGTAGATGAACATGTAATGACATGGGAAGACATTTATGATAAATTGGTGACAAAGGATCAGGTTATAAAATACTGGATACTTCATGATCCCATTTTTTAAATGGAACATGTGGATAATTCACTGTAAGACAAAAATAAATCCCTTTGTTGCTCTTTTCACAATATCATTTACCAATAAGCTCAGGTAGCCATGGAGATTAACCGTTCCTTATAATACAAAAACATGGGAGAAACAAAAATTTACTTACTCTTCCAATTTCTGCAGTCCAAGAAACAACAATGGTGTTTGGTACTGTTGTGGATAATCGGACAAGTGAGGTGATATTAATTGGTCGGCTGGGTCGCTTTGGTTCCACACCATTTTTAGTAGGTGGAAGATAACCCTAAGGATGAAATATAATTTATTTCTACTTATTATTTCCACAACCATTTCAACTTCCATTTAAAAAAACACCCTACAAACTATGTACTATAAAATATGAATGTTTCCATTAAAAAGTAGAGAAGTAAACATTTATAAGCATTGCCTGTGCGTTCCTCTAAACAACCCTACTGTGTCATTATATTATAGTAAGCCCGAGAAAAATATTAGTGATAGAACTTAAAAATCTCTAAAATGTAAGAATCAGAATGAATTCATAAAGAGCTCATATACGTATATAAGAAATATCTGAAAGTCGACCGATTACAGCCTCCACTCTCAACCTCTGCTTTAACGCACAGAATTCTTCAAATCTCTCTTCTACTACAGGCTTCCAGATTCACATGAATACAGTTGAGGTTTTGTTGAAACAATTTCTTCTCCCCAAAATCCAGTATAACACTAAAGCTTCCACACCAACTCCAAGTCTTAAACTTTGTCACCATAGCTAATGTCACAGCTGTTAATTGTACATAGTACAAGTGTTTCACTCAGTCACATGAATATATGTCCAAAATAAGATGATTTCTTAATGAATAACTATGATTAACAACAGCTGTGATGACTTATTTGATAGCTATGTTGGCAATGCATTTAAAAAAATAGCTTTTAGGACTTACTGGAAGGCTGCAAGGTTTTGTATTCACTTTCACACAAAGATTGGGTGGGAAGTGATCTTCTTGTGGACAACTGGTTTCAGATAAACAAAACCTAAACAATAAAAACAAGTTTAATTTCCTTTATTAAAGGATGACTTCATTAATATTTCTGTTCAATAGCCATTCTAAAAGAAGGCCAAACTTAACAAAAAACTATTAAAACTAGACATTTAATATGATGAATAAGCATATTTAAACATGTCTAAAATAAATAACTGTCAACGTAGAGTTTCAGTGATCACAACTATTAACCCGTAGCTGTCTTCATAATGTTTCCAATCATTTGCTTAAGTATGTTTGAGGGGAAAGGGTTTTGTCATTGAATAAGTTTAAGTAATTTTGAATCAAAAAATTAAATTGTTTCCTTAATATAGAACTTCTCAGAGCTAGGCTAACATGCATTGCAACTTTTTAAGAGAGAGGGTTAATATACGTATCTCCCAAACTTATGTGCCTATGAAGTATTTTTTTGGTTTTCAGTCAAATGCTATAAGTATATCCCCCGGACCAAGTTCTGTCCACTGATAGAGGTACTCCATTACTCCCTGAGACCTGAAGATATGAATAGTAACATTACTTGTATTATTGGTTTGTCGGAAAAGTCATGACATATTTTTTCTATGTTTTTCGTTGCAAAAATGCATCATGACTTTTCCGACAACCCAATATATTCACATGTATTTAGAATACTATTTTAGAAACTCATGAAAACATTTATTTCTAAATTAAATGCATAATCTTTTTGGGAAACCAAGAATAGCTATATAATTTGTAAAATCTCACTCTATTCGCTCTTATATAGATCAATAAATAAATTATTAATTTGCTATTTATGACATCCGCTCTTAATTACTTGTTTATTCCCAATATACAGCTGAGTTCATTCCACTTTAAGAACGTTCACAACACCTTTGAGTTACACGTTAAGAAGAACTCTGTCTCTGAATTTTGTGAAATACTCATGGATAGTCATTGAGTAAAAAGAACAGCATAAGATGGTTTATATAAGCAAGAGAGAGAGACATATTAACATAAAAGATTTCTTAGAAAAAAAAAAGAGCTAAGAAAAGAAATTGAATAAGCAGCAGCTGTGAATCCATGGTGGAAATTTTTCCATTCGTCTTTGCAAAACTATCAAGAAATATTTCATATGAAATATAAAGAGTATTTAGATTAATGATTTAAAATACAGGGCAAAGCAAATTAAGACTATTTTGGTTTTGTTAGCCCATGACACGTAGACTTAACCTAAGTACTAGTCCCTTATCTACAGTAGTTTGCCACTCATGCAGATAAAGCCTTTGCTTTCATATAACTTGGTATTTCTAAAGAGTTGACCACTCTGATATTGAAACATATCATTAGCTGGAGCTTCTCAAACAACTGAGGGCAACCAAAATGAAGAGATGTAGTTAGATGTATGGTACATGACTATATTAAATTTCAATTGGATAAAAAATTAGGATCTTTCATAACAGGAGAAGGTTTTCCCTCACCCAAACATCTAAACCCAATACTTTCAATATACTTATTGAAAATGAGGTGGATTTTAAAAAATCTTTAATAAATATAACTTTTAAACTGTAGTCAATACTGTACCTTAACTGGACCTGCACTGTGAAGTCACATTTGGTCCCAGAAATATCCCTAGAAAAGACAGAAGAAGAACTACTATAATTTTTAAAATATACACATGAAAGCTGATACAAAGATACTGTTGGGGCTGGCCGAGTGGTGCGTTGGTTAAGAGCTGGCTTGGGATGCCAGCTCTGAGCAGCAGAGTCCTGGTTCAGATCCTACATGAGGGCCAGTGACACTGCCTTCTACGGCTAGGATGGTGGACAACAGCTCTACCTAGACCTGGGCTGCCGTGGGTTGCCGGCGACAGCGTAGGCTACAGTCCCTGCTGCAGTGGGCTGCCATAAGCTACCGTGTGTGGCCGGCAGCCAGCGTGAGTAACCTGGCAGCTGGCGTGAGCTGCCAAAAGCCGCCGTGAGCGGCTGTCCAGAGACCGGCGACCAATCTGCCTCACCCAGGAAGAGCACAATGATAATACTAACATGGGCCAGTGAAGCGACGTCCTCCACAACTAGACTGAAGAACAAAAGGACAGCAACTTGTCTGTTCCCCTTCCCCGACTCCCCAACGCTGTTNGCTCGGCCAGCCATCCTGTCTTTCCTCTTTAAGGCACATGTCACAAGTGTAATTCATTAATGACTTGTGTAATCATTTGTCTTTCCCACATGACTGCAAACTTCTGGGGGATGCAGAGACCATGTGTGTCTTGTTTAATGCTATACTCTCCTATGCCTGGAACACAATAGACTCTTAATATAATTTCTTGAATGAGAAAAATAAATGAATAAATGATTAACTTTGGGCAGGAAAACGGACATTTCCTCCTGAAGCTGAAGGAGGAAAAAGTAAGAATAAAGTAAGGATGGGTATAGGTGCAGATAAATTGAAAAACAGTTATGGTGGCACTAAGATTAAGGAAGAAATGGGCAATTTAGAGAAGTCACATCTTATAATCCCAATTTTCTTGCATTGGCAATGTGATGAGAGAGAAGGAATAGTGTTAGAGTAAAGTATGGTCAAGGTTTAAAGTGACTGATGAAAGGAAAAGGGAGAGGAAACCGGAACTTGACCAAGAATTAGTAAAGGACTGTTTCTGTGATAGTTGTGAGGGGACAACTGTACACAAAGGTGAAAACCACAATACAAAAACCTACTAAATCAAATGAATCAGAGGATGGATTTCTCTGTGAAAAGTCTAAATACTAGTGACTTAATTCTTTCTAGAACATAACACTGCCTGATTTGACTACTAAAACTTTGCCAGTAGTATTTACTGATAGGATTAAGAGTGACTAATATTTATAAAGTAACTTGATTCTTCAGAAATATCTGAGAAACCTGCCAACATTTTCTTCTGTCGAGTTGTTTTACATAATCTTTTAATTACCTTTTAATTACACAATTAATTTGTTAGGAAAGTTATTTCTTTAGAGATAGCACAATGGCAAACAATCTGTTTGTTCTTTAGTCAACTACAACAAATGTCTTATTGGTAGGATCCAAATTCAAGTTTTGGTGGTTCCCCAAGCCAATAAGTAAGATAAGGTTTTAAACTGCCTCAAAAATCCCACCCAATCTGCAAGTGCTCTTCACCTCCAGCATTGTATCAGAGATGAAATAAACGGCTTTTGAATTAAGCAGTTTTTGTTGCTTAATAGCGGCTAACAGAGGTTACTTCAGAAAAGAAGTAATCCTAAGCTCACCTTCCCACTCTCCCTCCAGATGGTGCTACAGCTACAAGTGGAGAACAGTCAACTTGAGCAGACAGTTTGCCTTATTATTATTATCATCATTATCGTTTATAACAGCTTCATCTGCCTTATTACTTGATATTACCTTTTCCACACAGGCTCACATAATTCCATAATGTTTTCTGACTTGATGACATATAGCACTATGTGGCAAATACAAAGATTTTCAGTAGAATGACCAGGAATAAACTTCAGCAAGCGTATGCAAAAAGAAAAGTTCATCTCTTACACTCTCCTTCAAAACAGATATCTGTTTCTTCTCGTCAGGATTCCCCACTATCTCCTTGTCCCTGTCAAATGGTGCTTTCACTCCCCTAGACCCCAAGCCAACGCTATCAATCGAGCTCTCCACTGTCTGTCAAGGAATGCCTACAAGGGCATTAGACAAAAATGTGCTCCTTGTGACTCAGGATTGTCTTTTTAAAAAAATGTTTAAATTATTTTTAAATTACCTTTGACACAATATTTTATTAGTTTCAGGTATACAAAACAACATTTATATACCTCACAAAGCCATAACCTCAATAAGTCTATTACCCAACTGACATCTGTAAATAGTTATTACCATATTATTGACTATATTGCCACAGTATGGGAGGTATCTGCCTTTTTAAAGAGCCCCTTTAATACAGAAAAATCCTTCAATGAAGTATTAAGGATATAGTGATATTCAGAAATAGTGGGATCTTTTACTCTGGCATAGAAACAGGTTAGGAAAAAAGATAAAAGCTATGCCACAAAGAAATGAGAGGAAAGCTGGTCTTACTACT